CCGTTATCTCACCGGGGATTGCGGCGGGGTGGTGTATCGGATTCGAGTCGACTAAAACCACACGGTGTGGTACTCTGCGCCTGAATTCAAAGGATTTCGGGAACACAGCTGTTATTAAGACATCGGGATCTCCTCTTAGCGCCCGCCCGCTAGCCTGCCTGATGTCAATCTCAAGGGAATTCCTCTCCTTCATACGCACTTACACAAACTCACTCACGAACACTAACTGCCATTTGCAATAGCCTCCCTGAACACTGATTCTCATAACTTATAAGATACTAGGTTTACTTTAATTAATATTTCATTTTATTTCAATAACCAATTAGTTTTAATAGTATTTATTCCACGGCTGTGGCCACAGAATTTGTTTCTAATGTTCAGCGGTAAAATTGTGTGTCTGTGGAAGCATTGTACCTACTACCAAACTGCGCTATAAAGAGTCGCTGGTACAGGTACTATACTGCACAGGGTTTCCCTTTTTAAGTATCAGCAGTGCATTATTTGTCATTATTGTAATAAAACAACCATGAAATTATGTTTGTTAACTTTAATTGTGAACAATAAATATTATTATTATTAATTGAAACGTTTATTAAACGAGACAAAACGAGAACGTAAATTCGGCCAATGAAATAGGGTATAAATAAGGGTATAAATAATGAGGGTAGGGTAGGGTATAAATAATTAAAATTCAAAGGTGTCAAAGTTTAAACTAAATAAATATTAATGTCTGCAATAAAAACCTAACCTGTCCAACTTGCCTTACACAACTAAAACCAGTTTTTAGGTTTTTTTTTGTTCTGTCTGCCGTATCTTTACCTTCAAAGTTGAACTTGCTGTCGTCATAAGGCCATCGTCATAATGCCGAGTCATTCAAATAGGTAGGTGACCTTTTTAGTAGATTGCGCCACCTTGCGTAATCTAGGCTAGTTTTTAAAGATTAATTAACGTCATATACATATATATATTATAAAATAAATAGCTTTTAATGTTGTTTTGTAATATGTTGTTTATTGAAACAAAAAACCATAGTTAATGCTCTGTAAAGAGAAATTTATTCTGTAAAGAGACAATCACAAATAACGTGTAAAGAGAAACAACATTTAAAGCTAATGTTTCAAATAATATTTTTACAATCTAAAATGGAATAAAAAGTTTCTTCGAAAAACCTTGTTCACTTGTTCTTTTACCAAGCCATAGAGAATTTTTCTCATTATAGAATCAACATGGTGCAAAGTGCTGTCACCATAGACAATGCTTTGACATATAGTCGAATTTAATTTAAATTTAGTAAAGAGCCAAAAGGCTTCATCTACATATATATTTCGTTCAAAACCTTTTTTTCCTACCCCTTGGGAGACGGGTGTAAGATGACACATATTTTTGGAAATGGTCTGACGTCACATAATTTCAGTTTTGCACCCAGAATTGAAAGCGGAAAGAACAACCTGAATTGTCCTCCATTATCTATTTTACGTATTCAAATCATCATTGAATATTAATGATTCGAGAACAGCTAGGTATGTATGACGTCACACCCTAGTATTTAAAATAGTTCCGCGTCTATAGTTTTTGTCGTTTAATAGAAAGATACTGATTTGACTTAACAGCCATCTACCCTATTATAAACCTTACCAATATGGCCCCAAATGTCAGTTTACTTTGATTGCCAGTGACTGCAGTACCTACCCTCATCAACAGCCTTTAACAGTCCACTGCTAGACATAGGCCTCTACTTAGAAAGGAAGTTTGGCCTGCTGTACTACGCTGGCCAAACGGGTTGGTATAGGGTCTGTTACAAGCTTTCCTTCTCTTTGCAGTGCTGTTGTCACTTACGACACCCACGGGATGAATAGGGAGAGACTACCTTATTATAAATCTTAGAAATATGGCTCTAAACGGAGATTATTTAAGAGGGATTATTGCCACTAGCAGAGAGCCCAGTACCATATTGAGGGTTTCCATTGGGTTGAACATTGTTTACGTGTTGATATCCGTTCGAAACTCCTCAATGTAATACAGTTTTAGGTTAAGTATATTTGTTTGTAAACTTTAAACGATGCTTACATTAGTGATAATGTGTAATATTCTTCATTGTACACACAAAATGTACGACGCGCCAACATTTTACATATACAAAATTTCATCATCATCATCAACAGCCTTTAATAGTCCACTGCTGAACATAAGCCTCTCCTTAGAAAGGAGGTTTTGGCCTACTATACCACGCTGGCCAGACGGGTTGGTATAGGGTTTGTGTCAAGTTCTAACTTCCAGGAGGCGGCGCGCCTGGCCGCCACGGGAGTTTCCCTGGTGGTCGGGCGCATTGAGGCGTTGGGTTTGCGGGTGGCCCTGGATAAGACGGAGGCCCTATTATTTCATGGGCCCCGTCGTGGTCCACCCGCCGGCGCCTCAATCGAGGTCGGCTCGGTCCTCGTACCGGTCCGGGCCCAGATGAGGTACCTGGGTCTGGTCCTAGACGGTAGGTGGCTCTTCGACGAGCACTTCCGACAGCTTGGTCCGAAGCTGGTGGACACTGCCTCCGCCCTAGGGCGACTTTTGCCCAATTTGAGCGGGGCCAGTGTTCCCACGAGGCGGCTGTACGCGGGGGTTGTCCGGTCCATGGCGCTTTATGGTGCACCGGTGTGGGTGGCGGCTCTGACCGCCCCGAATAGGGCGTGCCTCTGGCGCCCCCAGAGGATATTGGCGGTCAGAGCCATACGCGGATACCGCACGGTGTCCACCGAGGCGGCTTGCGCCTTGGCCGGAACACCCCCGTGGGATTTGGAGGCGGAAGTGCTCGCCGAAGTTTATCGGCGAGTGGCTGACTTCCGGGCGGAGAGCGGATTTCGCCCTCCGCCCGAAGACGAGTGGCGCGAAGCCGCTCGCCGAGCCACTATGGTGAGATGGTCGTTCCGGCTGGAGACTCCACGCGCTGGCTTCGCCGCCGTGGAGGCTCTCCAGCCGGTCATCGCCGAGTGGGCAGGGCGGCAGCACGGGACCCTTTCCTTCCGGCTGACGCAGGTGCTTTCCGGGCACGGTTGCTTCGGAAAGTACCTGTACTCGGTCGCTAGGAGGGAATCGAGTCCCGCCTGCCACCACTGCGACTGCGGTGAGGATTCGGCCCAGCACACGCTGGCGGTTTGCCCCGCATGGGCGACGCAGCGCCGGGCCCTCACTGCAGTCATCGGAGCAGATCTCTCGCTACCGGCCGTAATTCGCTCCATGGCCGGTAGCGACAGTTGTTTTACCGCGGTCGCAACCTTCTGCGAGGAGGTAATCTCGGCGGCGGCGGCGGAGAAGGCCCGGGAGGATGACCTCCACTCGGACCTGATCCGCCGCCGGCGAACCGGGCGGCGGAGGCGCGCCTACCTGCGCCTCATGCCGCCCTGAGTGTGGCCGCGGGTGGACGGGATGGGTTCTCCCCTCCACCTGCATTAGTTGGCCAGCCGCGAGGGGGCGGCGTCCGCGTGTGCCGGACGTCGCCTAAAGAGAGGGTCCACTGAGACGGAGCCCGCACCAGGAGCGGGCCGGCGCTGGGAGGGGTCCAGAAGGAGATAGCTACCTGGACCCCTCCTAAACTAAAAGCGCAAAGAGGGCACACCGTGTGGTTTTAGTCGGTTCGAGTCCGACACACCGCCCCGCCGAACGAGAGCCCCGGCGGGGTGACGGTCCGAGGGGATTTCCACACGTAAAAAAAAAAAAAAAAAAAAAGGGTTTGTGTCAAGTTTTCCTTCTTTTTGCAGTGCTGAAAAATTTAAATAAGCTAATCATTAAAAAAAGCGACATTGTGTGAAAATTTAGGTCAACAGCCTGTAATAGTCCACTGCTGGACATAGGCTCCTAGGCTTTGGTCTACTATACCACGCTGGCCAGACGGGTTGGTATAGGGTTTGTGTCAAGGTTTCCTTCCTTTGCAGTTTATTATAACGTCTGTAGGGTTTTTATTCTAATTATGTAAATTAGCGTGTGATCATGTTAATTAAACAATATCATTATAATAACATTAAGTTATTATATAATAATAAATAAAAACTGCTTAAAATTACTTCCTACATCAAGAAAAACATTTCCGTCGAATGAAGGCAAACGTCAGACATTATTGTTTTGTTTTTATAAGAAAACTACCCGAGACCCGCGGTGTCACCCGCGTTTGTTGTTATAACCGCGGGCAACGCCGCGGAGCGAAGCTAGTCTAAAAAAAGTTACTCCTTATGTCATCAGCTATCTGCCAGTGAAAGTCCCGTCGAAATCGGTCCAGCCGTTCCAGAGATTACCCGGAACAAACAGACAGACAAAAATTGTAAAAAATGTTGTTTTGGCATATGTACCGTGTAAACATACATATGCATTTAGTAAAGAGCGGTTATTTTAATATTACAAACAGACACTCCAATTTTATTTATTTGTATATATATATGTGTCAAGGCAATCGATTAATTAGAAGACGCGATGTTTTTGTAATCGGTGCCAAAATGTATTTATGAGTAGGTAATATTTAAAGTTTTAAATGTTAACTTTGAAACCGTCTCAAACTCTCAAAGCTAAAACACACTTTGAACAGTCGACACAATATGTTTTATTACACACGTATTATAGATAAATGATATCCAGACGTAGAACAAATGATCGTGCTCATCACACAATTATTTGTCGTGAGCGGGAATCGAACCTACGAATTAGCTTCCGAAACTTCTCCATATAAATATAAATAACAACATATTCACGGAGGAATGTGAAATTTGGAAGAGGATCCTTTGTATCTATACAAATAAATAATATTGAAGTGTCTGTTTGTCAAAATAATAGGTTTTTTCATGCCCATATGGTTATTTGCACGATACCTATGCCTAAAATCCAGTTTAAATATTTTATGTCGGTCTCTCTGTGTCTGTTTGTTTTTTTCCGGGTAATCTTCAAAACGTCTGGATCGATCCCAACATTGAGATTATTTACGTATTAATGTAAAGATTAAATGGTGGTATGTCTAATTGTTACAGGTAGACAATCTCTTAAAGCCCTGCGCAGACATGGGCTTCCAAGCAGATTCACTCATAGAATGGAAGTTCGACATAGACAAACAGGTATGTTATATCATCTTCAGCTGGTTTCTGCAAAGGAATGCATCTTCTTTTTTTTTTTAAGAACTTAGGAATATATCCTGTGTCGCGGGGGACTTTACAAACATACATGAAACGGACACAAAGAACACCCAGACTCAGAACAAAATTTGTGGATTACACAAAGTGTCGTCCTATGTGGGGTTTGAACCCACAACACTTGACGCAGTAGGAAGCGGCGTGGCGACCACTTAAACCACTACGCCATCCGTGCAGTCAAAATTTATAATAATTTAACTCTCTTTCTCGAGCTACCGCTTTAGTCGGGGACGCGTCCCCTTTTTTTTTTCCGTGCGGCAATCCCCTCGGATACCACCTGTCGGTGGCATGTCTGACTCGAACCGACTAAAACCGCACGCCGTCTCGGGTACTAATAGCGGGGGAACCAGGTATACCCTAGAAAGGAAGTCCCTGGTGCTAGGGGACGCGTCCCCTGGTGACCTGTCTCCCAAGTCAAATGCGTCATTGAAGATCACTTGTTTTAATAGATATCTATAAAAACAGATAAAACTGAAGTGTATGTTTGTAATGTCAAAAAAATAGGTTTTTTCATGCTCACACGGTTATTTGCACGACACCTATGCCTAAAATCCAGTTCAAATATTTTTTGTCTGTTCGTTCCGAATAATCTTCAAAACGGCTGGACCGATTTTGGAGTCTGGGGTAACTTACGCTATTTTTCCTTTCAGAAAAACCATATAAAATTTTGCCCGGTCCGGGAATCGAATCCGAGGCCTCATGTACTGCAGTCGCGTACCGTACTACACCACTAAATCAGCGCTTTTTAAATTTCATGCGAAGTTTATCTAATAAACTTCTCTCTTTATTAAAACTTACCTAATCCACAGTACTCCATATGTCATAGAATTCCTAAAGTATTCCAAACGATTAAATAGAAACTGAAACATCAACTTGCTAAGCTGTTATGAACGGGATATGTTTATTTTTGGATGATCAGTTCATCCGTGATCATGGCGCTTTCAACATTGCCAAAATATCGGAAACTGGTTCTCGAAAATAAACATGGTCGACTGTCTCGACGGTGCAGTGGTAGCGTATGCGACTCCTGAGCTGAGGTCCTCGGGTTCGATGCCCTGGTGGGACCAAATGTTTATGATCTGCAAATATTTTTTTCGGAGTTTGGGTTTTTTCTATGTGGAATATATAAGTAGCTATATACTAAAAAAAGTATATAGTATTCTACCAGTCAATCTAGCTATCATAATACAAACTCTGCTTAGTTTGAAACTAGATGGCGTTATGTGTCAGATGTCTGAAAAATCCCATTTTAAATAACTTATCAAGTGAAAATAACCATGGTAGTTTAAAGCTTCACTTGTATATATGTTTATTTGTTTGTTTGTGCGTGATTTTGCGTTACACCTTTGGGCGTGATTTTGACTGACTTTAAACGGTCAGAATTCGTTTAAACTTTGTAGATATATCGAGGACCGATGACAATACACTAATTTGAAAAAAAAAAAAAAAAATGTTTAAAAAAACGAAAAAACACGTTTTTTATAGAAAACCAAACTAACAATTAGAAAATAAATTTGAAAAAAGCGTGGGGTGCTTTTTACTATTGACAACAGGCACCCAACGCTTTTATCAAATTTATTAAAATTTATTTTCTATTTTTTAGTTTGGTTTTCTATAAAAAGCGTGTTTTCTGGTTTTTCAAAACTATTTTTTTTTCAACTGTCCCATTATCACATTATAAAGATCCCCATCACGGTGTGAATGGTGTCTTTATATCACCGAGACCATGCTGAGTCAGTCCACTGACAGCTCACAGTCTAACCTGGTTACTGATAGAAACTTCCAGATGTTCAAGGTATTTTATTTTTTAAAGTGATGATAAACACACTCGTTATTCTTAAGTGACAAGTGTTCATGGGCGGCTGAAGTAACCATCATCAGGTAACTCGCAGGCTTCTTTGCCCCCTCTGTCATAAAAAAAAAACTAAGCCATGTCTAATATAATGTTGACATAGCAAAAAACTTAAAATAATTCAATTAACAAAAAACAGACTTTTGTATTACCACTTCTCCGTTAGCGTTATGGAATGTAGAGGCAAGGAGAACCATATCTTAAGGGGGTACATTTGAAAGTGTGTACTGAAAATGGAGGTTCCTGGCTTACGAAAAACTACAATATGAACATAGCTGTTGTAGACGGAGTGAAGTGTGCTGAGTTAGAATATTATGATAATTTTATTGTCTGTAAAACTCATTCCCTTTTCTCATCTCAGTACATCATATCACACATCAATAGCCTTTAATAGCCAACTACTGGACATAGGCCTGGTGGCCGTCTGGTGTCCGTGTGGTGACGGGTTAAAAATACAAAGTGTCCCCTACCCCTATTCATCCCTTGGTCCCGACTAAGGAAGCAAACTACGCATGACATGAGCACTGCATAGAGAAGGAAAACTTGACACAAACCCTACACCAACCCGTCTGGCCAGCGTGGTATAGTAGGCCAAAACCTCCTTCCTAAGGAGAAGCCTATGTTCAGCAGTGGACTAGTAAAGGTTGTTGATGATGTGATAGCACTTTTATCATACAAAACATAATCCACTCTTCATCTCTTTGTTTACATGAATTCTCTTTATTTTTCCAGATATCACACATAGTACTTGGACGAGGTCCTCCTGGCGGTTCGTGGAACACATTCCCTCCTACAGTGCGGACACTCTCACCAGCAGCGTGGCTCTCACTTCCACCGCACTCCGCCCAAGGAGCCGCCAGACTGTCGGCCAGAGCAGTGGCTAACTATTGCAGGAGATATGTTCACGCCTGTAAATTACAGGTTAGTTTTCATCACACAATAATTAATAACTTCAATCTTAGTAGGAGATTTAAACATTGAAAAAAAAGACCGAATCTCACACATTCGTAGTGTTCTTGGTAATCCTGCTGGTTATGCGTAAGCATTGGGTAAGAAGTCTGATCAATGTACGAGCTTCCTTAAAAGTTAAAAAAAAAAACATATTAAAAAAAAGCCGTGTGGTGTCGTGGGACACCCGATAGGAACGAAGTTGTTACGATCGAGTAAAAGTGATTAGACACGATTTTAATTACAACGCTATCTATGAAAGCGGCTATTACCTACATATTTTTCAGTTGGTTTCTAATTAAAACAATTTATACATTGGTAAAATCTCCTTGAGAAATGATGTCGTATACAATATTTTTTGCTCAACCTAAGAACATAAATTTTAATTTTACTATTCGATAGATGGCGCTGAATGACTGACAAGTGACAATTCAAAATAAAAAGTGTCGTGACCAATTTTCGTAAGATTTTTTTCCGTCTAGCCCCCTTTCACAACGCGCGATAAGGAGCTTCGTTCCAAAACTCTTTTAATTGACACATAAGCTGTAAGCCATTTTGTTCCACGGTTTGTTTTTACTGTGCTTATTAAACAATACGTCTGTCAATAACTCCGAACTATCATAATATAGCTTCATGAAATATAAGAGTCCTGATATCTCCATCCTAGAAGCCTCTCCAATCAATGAGAATGGGAGAAGAAAACTCATTGCACCGACTTCAAATAAATTTGGGAAAAGGGGCTGAAAATGTTGTTGATAATTTTCCATCTAAACAAATTCAAAATATCTTTATTTCATAAAAAAATGAAATTGTTTGAAATCGTCTCTTATGTAGACTCTAAAGCCATAGATCAACACGCACAAAAGCAAAAATCTCTGTTTTCTCAAATATTAAGTAAAATAAATATAAACGTATTGAAAATTTATTATATCCCTGTGCCAATCTACAATCTACAACCAATCTACAACCGCCCGTTTCCAAAGGGTTACCTTATGAGAAAAAGGGCAAAACCTTCCGCTGACTCAACGGGAGGGACTCCAAGGGCGGCAACGCACTTGTGACTTTTGAGTTGCAGGTGTCCATGGGCGGCGGCAGTTGCTTACCATCAGGTGACCCGTCGGCTCGTTTGCCCTCTTATACCATAAAATAAATAGATAAAAAATAAATAAACCTCACTAAAACTTGCAATATCTTTTCCCATAACTAATTTAATTGCTGCATAATGCTGAACCTAATCTCCTCTGATCTATATTTCCATTTAAATACTATAAATATAACTAGCTGACCCGGCAAACGTTGTTTTGCCATATACGTAATTTAAAAAAAAAAATTGGTGTATGAAAAATAGATGTTGGCCGATTCTCAGACCTACCCGATATGGACACCAAATTTCACGAAAATCGCCGTTTCGAAGGAGTTCAACTTCTAACACCATGTCACGAGAATCTATCTTCTTTTATCTTCTATCTATAGATATAAGAGATTTCCACGTATATAGTCACTCATCACGATATCTCTGGAACCATTAGAGCTAAAGACTTCAAATTTGGTAGGAATATTCTTTTCACCGAGTAGAGGTCAGCTAAGAACGGATTTTAAGAAATTCAAAAAAATAATAATAATTAAATAATGTAAATAGCAAAACAACGCTTGCAGGGTGAGCTAGTTTTATATATTAGATATATGGTTGAGCAATCTGTTATTATGTTACAGAAATACTTCCGCACAGGAGTAACAGTGACCAGCGTGACCCGCCTACCGCAGTCAGATGGACCCGGGTGCCACAACAAACGGTGTCCACTCAACGCACAGTTTTGTGTTGCTGGGTAAGCAATATTTACAATTACATATTTTTTTAATAGGTTAACATTTTTCCCCACACAGGAGGGGGTTATTTACGCGCCGTAGATGGCCTGAGGTACGTCGGGGTAACAGGGTTTTCCTTCCTAGGGTACAGTCTGGTACCCCAGACGGCGTGCGGTTCGAGTCCGACATAACCGGCAGAAAATTCCAATGATTTTTGACTCAGAATGATGGTCTGAATACACTATTTCAGTATTCGTTACGACGTCCCTTACACTCTGTATATACCATTCGAATTATTATTTACTTAAAATTATTTAAGTTAATTTTTTACATCCACTTCTTTCCTCTTCAAGGCAAAGGAGTCAATTACTTGTGTTGTTAAGTAAAGATTACCTTTCTTGCCTCGATAATATATTTTAATGAAAGTATTAATAAGTATGTTTACTAACTGTGTAACTGAAAATAGTTAATCTTAGTAATATATGATAACCTACTCGAGCCTTGGCCTTTATAAAAAATTAAGGTGATATGCGAATTTCGTTCACAAACATTTTAAATATACCTACTACCTACACTAGTGCAACTATTTATCTTCGCGGGTAATTTTTGGCGCCCGTATTGTGCATGTCATTTCAATGTTGCCAGATAAATCGTTTATAAGCCCGATTTTATAAAAGTTAATCTGTTTTTTAATTTAAACTTATTGTAAAAAAGTGATTCGTTCGGTAATAATATTTTTAATTCGAGTGTTATAAATGGCAAGATAAGATTTTTTATGAATATCACATCACTAGCTGACCCGCGCAACTTCGTCTGCGTCTCTCAATAGTAATAAATTTTCTCCGTTTTTGAAACATTCTTCATTGGTGCTCCGCTCCTATTGGTCTTAGCGTGGTGATATATAGCCTATAGCCTTCCTCGATAAATGGGCTATCTAACACTGAAAGAATTTTTCAAATCGGACCAGTAGTTCCTGAGATTAGCGCGTTCAAACAAACAAACAAACAAATAAACAAACAAACTCTTCAGCTTTATAATATTAGTATAGATTACTTAAAAAGCTAGTAATAGTCCGTTGTTGGACATTTGTGGTTTAATGAACATAATCGTATTATAATATAAATTATTAAAAAACGAATGAATATATGATTTGGATTGGATTGGAAAAATATGAAGATTAAACGGTAACGTAACATTGCAGGTACGATAACGTGACGTGCCGGCCCTTCCGGTACACGTGCGCGCGCGTGGTGGTGGCGAGCGGGAGCGCCGAGCGCCCCAACGCGCTGGCGCCGCGCCTCGCCCGCCACGCGCTCCACGCGCTCGCGCCGCTGCAGCGCGCCATACAGGCCACCGCCAGCCACGGTGAGTCCCACTGACCCCGCCTCGCCCATCAGCCCTTAACATAGACTGCACGGATGGCGTAGTGGTGTAAGCGGCCGCTTTCTACTGCGCTGAGTGTTGTGGGTTCGATCCCCACATGGGACGACACTACAAATTGTTGTTCTGAGTGAGTGTTCTTTGTGTCCGTTTCATGTATATTTGTAAAGTCCCCCACAACACAGGATATATTTTTAATTATTTTAGATTATACTTTTTAAATAATAGAAATATAATGGCCTATACTAGAAAAACAAATTCTCTCGCAGGACTTTAATTGGAGAACACGCTATTGAAAATGACACGTGAAGAAAAGTACCATTTAAGTGTTCTTTATTCATTTGACACTAATTATGTGTTTCGTTGTTGCAGCGACCCCGGTGCCGGGCGCGGTGCTGATCGTGGGGTCGGGTCTGTCGGCGGCGGACGCGGTGTGCCTGTGCCGCGCCGCGGGGCTGCGCGCGCTGCACCTGCACAGGGCCCCGGCCGATGCTCTCGCCAGGCTGTCGCCGGTCGCCTACCCAGATTACTGCCAGGTATTTTACTTTACATATTCTTTCACTCGGTACATATCTTACCGCTCAGAAATATATGTTTTTCTTTTATAAGAGACAAATCCCGCACTAGGAATAAATCCTGTGTCGCGGGGGACTTTACAAACATACATAAAACGGACACAAAGGACACCCAGACTCGGAACAACAATTCGTGGATCACACAAAGTGTCGTCCCATGTCCCCAAAGTGACGTACAAAATTAAAAAGAAATCAGAATGGTACACATAAATGACTGGACGGGTGACATGGCATAATGGTTTAAGAGGTCGCCACGCCGCTTACTACTACGCTAAGTGTTGTGGGTCCGATCCGGTCCGAATGGGTTAGTTGTGTGTATGAAACACAATACCTTATATTTGACTGGCCTGTTGGTCTAGTGGTTAGTAACCCTGACTACTACACCAGAGTTCGTGGGTTCGATTCCCACCCAGGACAAATAATTGTGTGATGAGCACGGTCATTTGTTCTGTGTCTGGGTATAATTTATCTATAATATGTATGTATTTAGAAATATATAAGTATGTTTATCAGCAGTCTGGTTACCATAGCACAGGCTCTGTCTAGTTTGCGATCTGACAGCCGTGTGTGAGATGTGTGAAAATATTATAATTATTATTATTTAATTCTATTACAGGTATACAAAATGATGTGCGACGGACCATCAGGAAACCACAACAACTACACGCCGTACCCCGAACACACCATCATAGACATCACACCAGAGACCCCGCCCAACAAGCTGACCTCAGACGACATCGAAGACTACGCCCTCACCCTCAAGACAGTCAAACTCCTCAACCTGAAGACACAAGAAATAACTGTAATACAAGTCTATGTTGTTGGCGTATTCATTGGATCCAAACCCGACCTATCCTTTCTCCAAACTAATTATTTAGACTGCATCGATGTTAAAACAGATTGCGATAAATGCACAGACGAAGCGATAGCTCAAAGGAAAATTGATGAAAAACAATGTTTCCTTAAAAATCATTGGCTTTACATCAAATCGATGCTCGGACAGAGCATTCAGATTTGTAAGTCGAGATATTTGAACCAGACAGAGATTAACGGCAACGGTGATACGGAATGCGAAATAAAAGATTGTAACAGACGAAACGATAGTGAAATTGGGAAATCTGACAAAGATTTTGATAAATTAAATACGAGTATCATTCCTTATAATGATGATGACAATGTAAAATGTCAGTGTGATATGATGAATCCTTATTCATCAGGCCTCGGGTTCGGGGTCGACCCAAAGAAACCGGTTGACGGTAGGAATAATCCTATAGCGATAGACAGAACTACTCACGAAATATTAAACGCACCCCGGGGGATGTACTCCCTCGGACCTCTCACAGCCGATAACTTCGTCAGATTCATCCCTGGAGGAGCGTTGGCAATAGTTGCAGATATACACAAGAAAAATAAGTGATTTGCTATACCTTTGTGATTGCAATATTTCTGTTCTGTTTTTTTACAATAAATTATTTTTTTATACCCGGTATTTCTGTTTTTTAGTACTATCTATATCTTCTATCTATATATCTACTACTATCTATAAAAATATACTATCACTAAACAGCTGTAGAGAGCTCCTGCAAGTTACTTAAAAGCGCCTGCACAATTTTTTTTAGCATTTAATTTCTTCTCGTGACATATTTGCTATAAATTCTGTCGTAGGCGCTTAATATAATCGAACACAGATTTCTGGACAATGAATACTACATGTGTTTGAGGTCGGATTTATAAGCAGTTTACCAGACTCAATTCACCAGAGTAGCAACTTACCAGAAGAACAATTAAAAACAAAATTTAATGTTTTCAAGCTACAACAGAACTCGTTTAATGGCTTTTAACATTTTACACTTAAAGTATTATCGGCTTTAATGTTTCATTTATAATACTGTTCCATCCGTGCAAAAATTCATACACTCATTAATTTTGTAAAATAAATTTCATATTCAAATACAATGATAATTCAATACAATAATATTATCATAGTGACACACATTTCCTGTTTGATAGTACAAAATCTGGTTAGTTGGGAATCTGAGGGCCAATTGCGAGTTTTTTTCACATCTACTGGATGTGACAATCCGCGTTCGGCGCTGCGATTGGCCGGCACTGAAATCTCCACCAATCGCAACGCTAAACGTGCTCGCCGTAAGAGCAAGTCTATGTGAAATAAACTTGCAATCGGCCCTTTGGTGGCCCTTCTACAACCCAACCATTTGTATCATGGGTTGTAGATGTCTGCGTTGCCGCCCTTCGAGTCGCCTTCCCAATAATAGGAAAAGGGGGAATTTGGGTTTCTTGGAAGTTCAGTCACTCGTTAAAAAAAAACGAAGCAATTGCTTAACACCGGTTTCCTGTAAGGTAGTGGTCCGGTGTTGCCGGTCGAGCAGGCCTATTTGTATCTAAGCATAACTCGCCAACGTTTTCAGATACTCCATTCCTTTATGGAAACAATTCTGACCTCAAGATTAGATTAAATATGGTAGAATGCATTCCCAAACATACCATTTCTGGATATATCTTCACTTATCTCTTCCGCTTTTAAGAACACTTCAATTTCATTTTTCTTTTGGAATGTGGGTAGAAATAAAACAAAAAAGTGTATCGAGTCAAACATATATAAGCTGTATTGTGCTTTAATTACAGGTAATAACGAACATTTTCTTATAAACACGATTTTATAATCTAGACAATAATAACTTAATCTAACTTAAATGGCACGACGTTAATCCTAAATTTTACAATAAATTGACTGCGTAAATAAATGCATTAAGTAAGCAATAACGTAACATAAAAAATTTCATATAAAATTCGTTTAGTAAAAACTTAGAATAAATCTACAATATACTATTAATTAATTTTATAATAATAAATAACTTAAAATTACAAATTTAATACACATTACATACATATTCTTGGGCAGTGGTATCTATTCTGACAGATCGCTTTAACCCGTGATAAAATCACGCTATCGAGTCAGGCGGAACTAGTCAGGCGAACCGAAAATATGTGAATTTCCGCCGCGTTTTGAGCGCTACTCACAACCGTTATTTCATTCAAATTATTTTATTCCCATAGCATTTCGTTTTTACATGTCGATATATAGAGAGATGTAAAACCAGATTGTGGTATTAAGCTGATAACTTGTCAACGTCCGCAAGTCATTAACAAATTAACAAACACATTATGATTAAAGGCGTTATCTATTTTGTCATTGTGAAGATCGTATGACGTCAGAGTTTAATATTTCTGTACAACAGAATATGATAAACTTATATTTAATATGTGATCAGGTTGGGCAAGGTCATAAACGATGGAATAGGCAGGATAATGCACAAACATATTTGCCTAGGTTCTACTTACTGGGCTTTAATCGAGATTCTTTAGTTTAATTTCAGAAAAACTTCATGACAACTTCAGACACACGTAAGACCCAACTTATGTCACCGAGCAAGTAATCTAGTATAGTCAAATAAGAAAGTACTAAGTAAGTTAAGGTACTTTTGTTTGTGACAACGAATGAAAGTAAAAAAATTTCAATATACCCGCAAAATAATTTATAACCATATTTTGCGACATAAGTTTTGCAATGAACAACTTAAGTTACTGTACAGTTAGAAAAAGTTCGTAGACAATATGGAAAATTCCAACACATTAAAAAAATATATATATATTAGATAAACTTCCTTTAAGTCGAATTAAGGGTTAAATTTGGTTCATTATATGGAAAATTCCAACACATTAAAAAAAAAAATTATATTAGATAAACTACCTTTAAGTCGAATTAAGGGTTAAATTTGGTTCATTATATATATTTTATTAGCACCTTGCTTAAAGCATGGGATTCGTAGGTGTTAAACTTATACCAGCCAATATTTAAACTGAATATAATTTGGAATAATATAACAGTAGTACTAACTAGCCACCCAAAGATTTACAATTAAAATACGTTACATAAAAGACCACATATTTGTAAGGCTTGAAAATGTCTTCAGTTAAAACTTTAAACCAAATTACTGAAACCTTGATGTATCACATAGCTCCATTTGAAAATTATAAATTAACAAAAAAAAACTAGTCTGAAAGAACTCTGTATATTTGTAAAATTCTAAATAGTTCTAAATTAAGAAAAGCAGCATTTGAAAGGATTTTTTACGATAAAAATGGAAAGATGAAGAACGGGAGGAAAACGATAATTTAATAGCCTACAAAGCCAAAGACACAAATCAATAAATATGTCTGGGGTGGGTTCTATAAATAAGACGGTAGCTTCAGATCGTGACGTCTATTGCCGAAAGGCGTGGCCTTCCCTGACAACAGACCAATTTTGGGTACAATTTTTGAAAGTATTGTACACATACTATTATCTATTTAACATCTCGGCAGATATCATTACGTAGTACTTACATGTCCTATTTTTCTATCAAAATGGGACCTTGATGTATGTATTCAATAAAATACACACATAATAAAAACAAAATGCAGTCGACTTTAGACCAAGCAAATACTTCGACAAAACTGCAGATGCTGTGCAAATCTGCGTAACGAAATTACGAGCGAGTAATATTAGTCACATGACCTCATTCAATTTTGCGATGAGTTCAACGTACAATATATATCTTGTTTCTGTAAATTCATGATGGTGGTATATACAGGCTAAGTTTTCAGATGACATACATGATTGTTGGTACAGTCATTGCATAACTCAAATGATTCAAAAACATAGAGATACAAGCAAAAAGTGAACAAGAGCCCAAATCTTGCAATATAGGCAACGAGAGAGATGGATGCCCGATAGTACCCTCATCTTTCAAGTCGAGCTCTGTGGTTGGTTGGGAAAATTTCTAATCTTCCGCCTGTTCGATCAAAACCATGTCCACTTCACAGTAGCCAATCGCAGCTTAGCTAAACGGAGACAGAGGGAACTATAGGGCATCCATTTCTCTCGTTGTGATACCCTTCCACTTACAGGCAGCTGTACCTCTATAATCGAAAACTTAATCTCAAATCTACCAGCAGAATAGGTATAAAATACCAATTTATACAGGATCTGTAGTACAATTATGAAGTCCTGGGTCCAGGGTCTCATAAAACTGTGGTCGCGCGTTATGTTAAGTTATGTATGAATGTTTATGTGCCCACACATAAACTGTGGTAACTGAATCCACATCCAACCTAACCATTATGGTGAAAAGAAAATTACGCTGAACAAAAATGTAAATATATATATTGCACCATACATTTTAGATACCATAATTACAAAGTAACAATTTTTAAATAATTAATAATATACCTCACACATCTCACACACGACCGTCTGATCCCAAACTAGGCAGAGCCTGTACTATGGTAACCAGACTGCTGATAAACATACTTATATATTTTTAAATACATATACATATGTGTATGTATACATACATATACATATTATAGATAAATTACACCCAGACACAGAACAAACGTGCTCATCACACAATATTTGTCCTGGGTGGGAATCGAACCCACGACCTCCGGCTTAGCAGTCAGGGTCACTAACCACTAGACCAACAGGCCCGTCAAACCTACGTGTTATAACTACGTAATAGGTACCTAGTGTAGGAGGGCCTTTACTTCAGTATTTTAAAATCTTTGTAGGTAGACGGAGATTTGACTACAAAATTAATTAAAATAAAAAAAATAATAATAAGTACTTAGAAAGTTACATAAATTCGTATTTTGGGTCTGGTTGGCTTCGCTGCGGAAAATTAATTTCTCCATCCCTGGTTGATAAATTAAATGAAATCTATCTTTCTCTGTCAGGCAATGAGTTTGCAACATTACATTATACAACAGTACCTACATAAATACATTGAATAGACATGTAAAATTATAGTTTAAAAAAACTAAAAAACACGATCTTGTAACTAGTCGATTATTTTCTCAGTAAGACTAAAAAAGTAACTTTCATAATGCTCATTTTCTTGAGAATATTAACAGCAATATGTGAACAGGGTTTGCAACGAGTTTATGGTAAGAAGCATTTGATCGACTACTAATAGTAAGAACAAATACAGCTCTTGACAATAGCGTTAATTGTAAACCTTGACTACCTGATGTTCCTCTATCTAAATAGGAGATTTCCCGTATGCACTTTGTGTCTTGACAATAATGCAACCATATTATAACAACATTAAGCAGTTTCCAGAATGTTTCACTAACACATTGTTACTCAAAAGAATATCTTCACGTAAAAAACTTTAATAGATTTGAAAACTTTGAAGTAATATTTTTATTTGCTTTAGTTTATATATTTATTTATTTAAAATTGTATTAATTTTTACAATAAATTAACAAAGCACAGGCCTCAACCCGCAGGTGATTGTGACTGTCAAGCATTTGTGGGTTTGATTACCACCCAGAATGAGTATTTCTCTCCTGAGCTTAGTAAGTTATTCATTTTCCGAGTGTTATTTATTTGGTAACAAATGTGTGTTTAGTAGCAATCTAGTTATAATAGTACAGGCTCTACCCTTACTATCTGATGTACTCCAAACTACACAGCCGTAACATATCTGAAGTTATTAGTATTTTAGCAATGTATGTGTAACATTAGTATGAGGAAAATGTTGGTTTTAAAAAGAATTTATTGTAGGTTTAACGATTTACATCATTTTGGCATCATATCTAGTCTTAAGTAGATTATTTTCCAGGAAATCAAACCATTTTATCAGCTGCATGACTGTACATGGTCTTATATGTATGCTTTAACAATTATAACAATTAGTTAAAGTTTATAAATGTAAAAGCTTTTTTTTTATGCATAATCTTAGATATATTATCACTTCTAATTTTAATGTAAATTTAAAAAATAATTTGAATGACATGAAACTTGATAAACAAATTCAATATTCAGAATAATAAAAAGGTACTTCAATTTAATATTTACAATTAAATTTATCAATTTCACAAATAATAAGATAGCAAGTTGTGAACTAACATTTTATATATTTATATAATTTTATTTACAATAATATTAAAAAGAAAACAATACCTAATGTAATATTTTCACATAATTATAGGATTTAATCTCTTCCTGAGCTTTCAATAGAAAAATAGACGGATATTATGATGTGCATAAAAATATTTAGATTATTTAATATAATAGTATTTAAACTATAAGCATTAATGTTCAACGCTCACAATTTCCGGAGTATTCTGCAGTGTAGATACTAACTCCGCCAGTTCCCTGCCTAGCATCATAGGTAAGCCCAGCACTGTCGCAGCCTCTGGATTAGGCAATAACGTAGCCAAAGCCAACAGAGCTGCCCTTCTTAAAGGACGTACCATCACAGATATGTTCCAATTCGTCCTATACAACATACCACCTACATGATTAGGCGCCCTAAATATAACTTGATTATTAATAACAAAACTCTCGTTGGTTGAGGCATCAGTAAATTCCCATGGGTGTGTTAGAAATGAATTCACGTCGTAGTAAGCGCCAGCTTCCAAGCGGATGTAATGGCGTTTGATACCCTGGAAATCCCGCCACCAGACATCTACGGGCCGAGATGTCCGATTCGTGAAACGAAGATAAGCTGTATTCTCAGATTCTATCGATTTAACTACGATGCGCTCACCTTTGTCATTCACCTCGTACACTACATCCTCGTTAATAGCCATTTTCTCACAAGTTACAGCAAGGACGTGATATAAAAACACTTATTTTATTCACTTATCGTCGCCACGAATACAATGAAATACAATCATTTCAAATATTCCCGCCTTCAAACAACCACCAAGCACAAAATGTCAACACTGGCGTTTCCAGAATACTTCCGTCAATTTTATACAGTCAACTATGGCCGTCTGTGTAGCAGTTATTGGCAAAGATGTAAGTTTATATTCACTACTCTTCTTTACACTATTCACTGCTGTTTTTATTTAATAGTTTAGCAGATGTAGCGTTACATTTTTTTATTAACGTTATTACGGTAATGTAATTCCTTACAGCGTTTAAACAAAAAGTTACAGGGATTGATATTTCACAATATAACGCATGACGTCATTGTTTTTGTTTCATCGCGTTCGGATACATCCACAAAAGACATTTTAATGTCAACCATATCCATAAACAAAACATTTACAACGCCCACCACGCAACTCACACTTACTAAGCTTACACGTAAAATCTGAACAAGTGGCTTATTAAGGTGCCGAATACGTGAAGTTTTCATCTTATGATTGCATTTCAATTTACTATTAAAATGAAAAAAAAAAATTTTACTTAAACTAAACATTACTTGAATTTACAAAGTAATATTAATATTTGTCAACATGCTCGACTTTTTACTACAGATTTTACCTTTCTATTTTAGAACTCACCGCTGTACATAGGCGGTGTCGGCAATGATACAAGCTCAGACAATGAGTTATCTCGGCAATGGCTGGTGCACACAGCACTGGACGCGCTGGAAGAACGTCTTGCGACCACTAATACAAACAACACCGGTACTAATTCTAACGCCGCGCGCACTGATCTAAGGGATTTATATCTTGGACTGTTATACTCAACGGATACTCATAAGATGTAAGTTAATTTCGAATCCAGGATGAATGTAGCTCATAGAACAAAATTATTTAACAAACAAATAGTTTGCCCTCGAATCTTACTGACATTATAATAAAGTATACATATGTCACAGTTACGGCTACGTCACAAATACACGCATCAAACTGGTGTTAGTGACAAGTTCCACGTCTCCCAGCGGCAGTAACATCAGAGATGCCGAAGTGAGAACTGCGCTCAGGAGACTTCATGCACTGTATGCTGATGCTATTTGTAACCCATTCCATCTTCCAGGAGATCAGATTACATCACCGTAAGTATTTAATATGAGGGTTACATTGTCTACTCTCATACCATTAATAAATTACTTTTTTAATAGTCCCTAGAAGCTTCGAGTAGAGACGTAGTTGAAGCTTGAAATCGATTACCTTTCAGTAAAAGTATCTTATTTTATAACTTATTAGAACCATTTAAAGTATAGTGATGGATAAATTGCGTTTTACACATGGGTACGCATTGCACGGTAATTAAAGTGACGTAATGTGATTTTGATAGTTAGTCTGTGTATTTACTGGAACTGAAAGAAAAGCCATCCCTGCTATTAGATAAGAAAAAATTATGTATATCTATTTTTTTTTTAAAACCGCCAAATACAAAACTCGAGAACGGCTCGACCATTTTCGCCTAATTTTCTTGAAAAGGTTCGGTAAGGTTATTAAACTAAATAAAGGCGAGGTAGGATTATCTTTGGTATGCCTTCAAATTGATTAAGTTAAAGAAAAGTTATCAGTCTGAAATAGGTGAAAAGAATAAATATGTTTTAACACATTATGTTTGTCATACTGTAATACTGTTCTTAATTAAATCCCTTGAAAAAAAATCGAAATCGTTTCAGGCGTCTTCGAGTAATAAGTGAACATACATTAAAAAAAAGACTCCAACAAATTGAGAACCTCCTCCTTTTTATAAGTCGGTTCAAAAGTATTACCATTAGTATGACTCGGTATACTTACGGTATACTTTAAGTAGTACTAAAAAAATAGCTAATTAGTATAATCTAAAAACCTTGTGATGTTAAAATAACATTTATGGTGATTAATATGTAATATTTTTTTCACAGAAAATTTGATAAGCAAGTGAAGAATATAATGCTCAACAACGTGTAACGGCATGATGGGAATGAACGGGAGTGAACATAATGTTCGTTATTATCCCTCTTGATCTATTGCTCTATTTGTTGCTAGATGATATTAAATTTAATTTTAAGTTAAATCAAACTTCGAACGATGTTTGACTGTTAAATATGCTTTATAAATAAACTTTATTTTCACCTGTTCTGTTTTTTTTTAAATAAAGAAAACAATGAAATAGCCTGTGTTGTGTATGTGCCGAAGCAGGGCTCTCCCAAGGTCATTCTCGTTTAACTTCAATCGATTGTTCAACATGATTATCTTAAATTTTGTAGATTTATTAACATTAAAATTAAGAACTCACTAACAAAGTAAAAGAACACGGGTAATGATTAAACTCTTTTTCAACATTTTATTTGTTTGATTCTTTTTATTTAAGTTAACAAATATCTCGAAAATTTACATTCATTTGATATGCCTTAGTTTCACAACAATTAAATGCATGAAAAATGTACGGGCTTTGAAAGCAAAAATAGGAGATTTTTAGTTGTCTTTGACCGAGAAATAAGTTCTAAGGTTGGCAACCCTGCTTTGCTCTTACGATCAGTGATGACAACGCCGGGGTTTTTTCCCCCAATTCAGGGGGGGGGGGAATATTTAAAGGTAGTTTTTAGGGCGTTTACAGGTAGGAAATTTGTTGGGGGTACTTTTAAGGACAAAATTGATTTCTTATTTTTTAACCAATTTTACAGTATTTTCTATGTATATCACATCATCATCACATCAACAGCCTTTAATAGTCCACTGCTGGACATAAGCCTCTTATTAGAAAGGAGGTTTTGGCCTACTATACCACGCTGGCCAGACGGGTTGGTATAGGGTTTGTGTCAAGTTATCCTTCTTTTGGCAGTGCTGGTGTCCTGCGTTGTTTTACGTCCTTAGTCGGCTCTTACGACACCGTCGGGATGAATTGGGGTAGTGACATTCCGTATTCTTAATCCGTCACTACACGGACTATGTATATCATCAAAAAAATTGAATGATTCCAGTTTTAATAGATGGCGCTGAGTATATTATATTGCAATTAATAAATAGTTCGGCGTTGGGCAGCTTTCGTGTGAATTTAGTGGTTTACACGCATCAAACTGGTGTTAGTGACAAGTTCCACGTCTCCCAGCGGCAGTAACATCAGAGATGCCGAAGTGAGAACTGCGCTCAGGAGACTTCATGCACTGTATGCTGATGCTATTTGTAACCCATTCCATCTTCCAGGAGATCAGATTACATCACCGTAAGTATTTAATATGAGGGTTACATTGTCTACTCTCATACCATTAATAAATTACTTTTTTAATAGTCCCTAGAAGCTTCGAGTAGAGACGTAGTTGAAGCTTGAAATCGATTACCTTTCAGTAAAAGTATCTTATTTTATAACTTATTAGAACCATTTAAAGTATAGTGATGGATAAATTGCGTTTTACACATGGGTACGCATTGCACGGTAATTAAAGTGACGTAATGTGATTTTGATAGTTAGTCTGTGTATTTACTGGAACTGAAAGAAAAGCCATCCCTGCTATTAGATAAGAAAAAATTATGTATATCTATTTTTTTTTTTAAAACCGCCAAATACAAAACTCGAGAACGGCTCGACCATTTTCGCCTAATTTTCTTGAAAAGGTTCGGTAAGGTTATTAAACTAAATAAAGGCGAGGTAGGATTATCTTTGGTATGCCTTCAAATTGATTAAGTTAAAGAAAAGTTATCAGTCTGAAATAGGTGAAAAGAATAAATATGTTTTAACACATTATGTTTGTCATACTGTAATACTGTTCTTAATTAAATCCCTTGAAAAAAAATCGAAATCGTTTCAGGCGTCTTCGAGTAATAAGTGAACATACATTAAAAAAAAGACTCCAACAAATTGAGAACCTCCTCCTTTTTATAAGTCGGTTCAAAAGTATTACCATTAGTATGACTCGGTATACTTACGGTATACTTTAAGTAGTACTAAAAAAATAGCTAATTAGTATAATCTAAAAACCTTGTGATGTTAAAATAACATTTATGGTGATTAATATGTAATATTTTTTTCACAGAAAATTTGATAAGCAAGTGAAGAATATAATGCTCAACAACGTGTAACGGCATGATGGGAATGAACGGGAGTGAACATAATGTTCGTTATTATCCCTCTTGATCTATTGCTCTATTTGTTGCTAGATGATATTAAATTTAATTTTAAGTTAAATCAAACTTCGAACGATGTTTGACTGTTAAATATGCTTTATAAATAAACTTTATTTTCACCTGTTCTGTTTTTTTTTAAATAAAGAAAACAATGAAATAGCCTGTGTTGTGTAGGGTAACAATGCTAACAACTAAGTTTCAACTAGAAGGTTAAAATTATACACTCCATCTCTTATAACTTGCCAAAAACAACATTGGCAGTGCCTTCCTCAGACAGTTAGAGGGAGAATCTGAAGTAATCTTATTCGGCGAAACAATTCACAACGAAAGAATTATTCAAAGATTTAAGCAAATCTTTCATTGCCATTTGATTTTGGGATTTATTTATAACACGATTTTTTGTAGTAGACAACGTTTCTTAGGTTAATGGATTTTTATACATTGGCTACTCAGACCAAAAAACAATAGATTGGGGCTAAGGGTTAAGATTATAGATGTAAGGCCGGTTAGAAACCAATTAAACCAATCCGTTTAAAACGAAATATCCGTTTAAAACCATTTTTTTTCTTTCAAACGGGTTGTGTTGATGACTATATTTTTTTAAAATTATAACTACATTTCTTGATTGTACCGAGGTAGGGATATGACAGAGTACATGTGTGATATACTGATATTGATATAGTTAGCGGGTTTAGTTCTAGTTGATCCGTCCGACCAAGCGTAAGTATTACCTACCTAAGTTATAAAAATTCTATTGATAAGTTAAAAACTCTGTGTTGGTAAATAAACATTTTTTTATTGTTTTCAAAAGATATAAATAATCAATTTGATTTGTCTGCACTCTTGTTGACACCGTCAGCAGCGGCGCGACGTCCTTGAAGACATAACGTTGTTTCTTTCTTGCGCAAGTAAAACGGTCGCCATTGTGTTAATGATGTTTTCTAATCTAGTGCGTGTAATTTAATGTAATAAATAAGTATTGGTAGGTATTCCTACATACTAAAGCTTTCGTGTAGTAGGTAATGTAGGTAGGTACTTTCTATTGATTTTCCATAAACTAAATAAACGAAACATGACGCCAGGTGACAAAAATTTTGTCCACAATGAAGTGTAAAACTCAGTTTTTGTAGGCGAGTTTTGAACAGTTTAAAACGATTTATTTGGGGTTTAAAACGGCAAATTTTTGTTTAAAACGTTTTAAGCGGTTGTTTTACGTCTATAGTTAGGATTATGGTGTGTAAAGGCAAGGAGAACCAACTCATATTTGGTGAGAGTTGCAAAAGTGTCCAGCTGTATACTGATAAAAATAGAGGGGAGAAAAGAATGGGTCACCTGATGGCTATTGACCACCGCAGCCATGGACAGCAACTGAAGAAGAGCCACAGACACAAGTGATTTCCCCGAGGAGGATTTGGGCTCCGGTAACCTTAATCTTTCCATGAAAAGCAACGAAAGAATTGCTTAATACCAGTTTCTGAATACCAGAGGCGTACCGTGGACAAATATAGACGTGCGCAAAATTACATCAGCGAGGCCCCTTTTCTTTCGTTCCAAACAGATACCCAATAGATCTATTTTACCACCGATCCAACTAATGTTTCTTGTGCAATCGAGTATTATAGTATAGTTCTTTGCGTGTTTAATTTTTCCTATAACCTAAAGAGTCTCGTGAGGACCTTCTAAGTGCGAGGCCGTGGGCCACTTCCTATTTCGTCCACGCCTAGCTACGCCACTGCTTCTCGCTCCGATTGAGCCTGGCTCATATGTATGTGCCGAAGCAGGGCTCTCCCAAGGTCATTCTCGTTTAACTTCAATCGATTGTTCAACATGATTATCTTAAATTTTGTAGATGTATTAACATTAAAATTAAGAACTCACTAACAAAGTAAAAGAACACGGGTAATGATTAAACTCTTTTTCAACATTTTATTTGTTTGATTCTTTTTATTTAAGTTAACAAATATCTCGAAAATTTACATTCATTTGATATGCCTTAGTTTCACAACAATTAAATGCATGAAAAATGTACGGGCTTTGAAAGCAAAAATAGGAGATTTTTAGTTGTCTTTGACCGAGAAATAAGTTCTAAGGTTGGCAACCCTGCTTTGCTCTTACGATCAGTGATGACAACGCCGGGGTTTTTTCCCCCAATTCAGGGGGGGGGGGGAATATTTAAAGGTAGTTTTTAGGGCGTTTACAGGTAGGAAATTTGTTGGGGGTACTTTTAAGGACAAAATTGATTTCTTATTTTTTAACCAATTTTACAGTATTTTCTATGTATATCACATCATCATCACATCAACAGCCTTTAATAGTCCACTGCTGGACATAAGCCTCTTATTAGAAAGGAGGTTTTGGCCTACTATACCACGCTGGCCAGACGGGTTGGTATAGGGTTTGTGTCAAGTTATCCTTCTTTTGGCAGTGCTGGTGTCCTGCGTTGTTTTACGTCCTTAGTCGGCTCTTACGACACCGTCGGGATGAATTGGGGTAGTGACATTCCGTATTCTTAATCCGTCACTACACGGACTATGTATATCATCAAAAAAATTGAATGATTCCAGTTTTAATAGATGGCGCTGAGTATATTATATTGCAATTAATAAATAGTTCGGCGTTGGGCAGCTTTCGTGTGAATTTAGTGGTTTAGTGGTTTATTAAAATTGCTTTCGGGAGAAAGTTTTTTAAACAGTTGGCAACAGGTAAGTTAGACCTATCAATTTCTTGGTATATGTAAATGTTTTCAGGGTCTTGTACCATCTTTCAACTAAATATTTGTATTGGTATGCAATAATACCAACTTTCTACATTGATTATACATTAAAATATTATTCTTGCTGTACGTCATGGTTACATTGATTATTGTAATAAATTACTTTTCAAAAGGATATTTATTTTTGACCTCTTGAGTAACTTACTCCACATTAACTTTATCAATCGAATTATCCACGGATAACGGGTATGATTTCGTCAGGTAATAATACCAAAATTCGGTCAATGTAACTCACGGTTGATTTTTATTGTATTTATGTTTAATTGTGTATAGACATTTATAAGATCTAATAATAAAAACGTCAACGAATAATGAGAACAATTATTATTAGTTATAATATTAATAATACATAACTATTATTGTTAACTTATTTTCAGATATGATTATTTTACAAATAATCCAGGATTTCTTCGATAATTCAAAATTTTATTTAAAAGAACATACCAAATAAATGATTTATTATTTTTAGCTCCTCATTTCTAAGGAGAGGCCCTCTGTCCTGAACTATTACGAGTATAGGCTGTTGATTGATTTTTAGCTCTTGGAGCCTTTTAGCGACATCTATACCAGATTTGGCTCACCACAATCTAACATCCCTAATTGGCAACACTGCTTACGATCAATACTCTCTTTCTTACGTTGACAAGTGCGTGAAGCTGTGCTCCGGTTCAGCGCTGTACAATTTTATTGATAAAGTTGTTTATCTCGACCGGAATACCGCAAGAAGATGGTAATTTGCAATCACATTTTACTTACAACATATTAAAAACGCAACTTTGCTAGCTATTTTGTTGATATAGTCACTTTTTCACCAAACAGCAGTTGTTAGGTTATACACACGGGTATAATATAGATAACACGTGCGATGTCAAAGGATTTGAGTTCAGTAAGTATTTAATAGAAATAGTTACCTATGTGTAATACGACACAGTAGAAAGTACCTTTTCTTAACGTAATTTCGCGCGCAACATGTTATCTCAGACCTAGTTTTTTTTTCATATAAATTTACTCGTAATCGCATTTTTTCGCTGTGTATAATATTTTTAACGTAAGTGAATTAATCACAGTAAAGGAAAAGGAAATTAATTATTAATCATCATCATCATCATCATCAGCCTATCGCAGTCCACTGCTGGACATAGGCCTCTCCCATTGCACATTGATGGTTGGCAGGAGCTGGATGCGACAAGCCCAAAATCGATCTAAGTGGCGTGCAATTATTAATAATGTTTTGTAATTATCTTAATAATTTCTTTTTTTAATTCCAGGCAGCCGCTGTCGTGTCAGGCAAGGACATAGAGAAGCCCCAGGCTGAGGTTTCACCCATCCACCGCATCCGTATCACATTGACATCCCGCAATGTGCGCTCCCTTGAGAAGGTCTGCGCTGATCTGATCAACGGTGCCAAAAAACAAAAACTGCGTGTTAAGGTTTGTAGAAAATCTCTTTTTTTTTGAGTTTTAAAAAGACAACTCCGTCACTTAGAATATATCCAGTATCGGACACAAACAACAAAAATACATACATACATACATAAAAACAAAAAAAAACACCCAGACACAGTACAATTTGTGGATCACACAAAGTGTTGTCCGATGTGGGACAACACTCAGAGTAGTAGAAAGCTGCGTGGTGACCGCTTAAACCACTATGCCATCAATGCAGTCACTCATCAATGTATCAATAAATACTGCAGAAGAGTATTTCCTGATCCACCTCAGAGGTCACCCAAGATTAGATTCCCAAGATTAGATTGAGCGTTTAAAATCACATCCTACATTTTGACGATAAGATGTTAACCAAACTATTTTTATTTTTTGCCATAATTTTACAATGGGAGAGGCTATGTCCAGCAGTTAACTGTGATAGGCTGATGTTCATGATGAATTTTATAATCTAGGTGAATAGGTATCATAAACATTACATTATTTCATTGAACTCTGGTACCAAAGGTAAGATTAAACTTGTGGAATGGGTAACCAGCGCAGCCTTTTTAAAAAGAAAAGTAAGAAGAAATAATAATATCACAACATAGAGTTATGTATAGCTTGTTAATATATCGGCATAGTTTAGTAATGCTCGTCTTTAGAATTCATCTCTCATCTCGGTCCCCAGTAATATGTGGGAATAATATTGTAAAAATGGATGATTGGCTTTGATTTGACCTAATGATGGTGAACATGCATTACTACAGTTGCCCATATGCGACTACTGTAATGCTTTGTAATTTTTAACCAACTTCAAAAACACAAAAGGGAAGGTTATCAATTGGTCTGTATTTTTGTCATGTTGCAATGTAGTCAGAGTTCGGATTCTGTTCGGAGATGTCCGTGTGGTGACTAAGAATACGGAGTGTCACCACCCCTATTCATCCCATGGGTGTCGTAAGAGCCGACTAAGGGAGCAAACTGCAGGACAACAGCACTACAAAGAGAAGGAAAACTTGATACAAATTGCTATACCAACCTCTCTGGCCAGCGTGGTATAGTAGGCCAACACCTCTTTTCTAAGGAGAGGCCTATGTCCAGGAGTGAACTATTAAAGGCCGTTGATGTGTGATGATGTGATGTGAGAGTTTGGATATGCACTAAGATGAAGACTCAGCGTGTTGTATACAGTTGTGTTCACCAAAATAGTGCAAAATTAATAAGTCTCTTTTAAGTGCTTTATGTATTATAACACGATACATATTGTTCATGAAAGAGTTACATTTACCTTAGTTATCACATTGTAGTTATGTTAACTTTGACAGCCCCTGTACCGAAACTGAAAAACTGAAATATCATAAATTTGTTTAGAAAGATGTAGGATTCTGTCCATAGATATATTTTTTCATTTTAGACTGTGACTTAAGAATATAAAAGTGAATTTATGAAATTTACTAACTTTAAATCTTGTGTCTGTGTCTTCAAAGCCATGTAATCTGTGTATAGTAGGCCAAAACCTCCTTTCTTTGGAGAGCCCTATGTCCAGCATTGGATTATGGGTATTGAGGCCCATGTCCAGCAGTGGACTAGTAAAGGCTGTTGATGTGATGTGAATCTGTATTAATTGTGCGCTTGCAGTACTGTATTGCATGCAATCTCGTTCATTTTGATGGCGAGACCATGTGGGAGGCAAACAAACAGACATGTCATCTGATGGTAAAAAACGACTGCTGCCCATCGACAGTTGCAACTCCAAGAGTCACAAGTGCATTGCCTCACTAGGATTAGCAGAGAGACGTCATCAATAACTCCTCAGACAAATAATTGTACTGGCTACATAAAATTTAATCTACAATTATTGACTTACAGGGCCCAGTCCGCATGCCAACCAAGATCCTCCGCATCACCACCCGTAAGACCCCTTGTGGTGAAGGTTCCAAGACTTGGGACAGGTTCCAGATGCGAATCCACAAGCGTGTGATCGACCTGCACTCTCCCTCTGAGATCGTGAAGCAGATCACCTCCATCAACATCGAGCCTGGTGTAGAGGTGGAAGTTACGATTGCCGACGCGTAGGCACAACTGCCAAAATTATATATTATTAATTAATATTTTATTTGTATTATTTTCCAACTTATTTTTAAATTCCCTATTAGAAGAAAAGTCTGAGAAATATCTGGATTGTTTTCAGACATCAGTAAATACAGAAAGTTTTTGTTGGTTCGGTGTTAATAGTTCTGTGTACTTTCATGTACCTTTCCGACCGACATTAAAAAAGAAAGTAAACCAACCCAAGTTAAACAAATAACACACACTGTAGGGGACAATTTCTGCATAATACAATACTGAACTCAAAAAGAAGTTTCCACATTCTGAGACACTAAATTGACTGTCCCCAATTATTGAGCAGGATGAAAATGCCGTGTACCCATGAAATAGAGCTGAGCAACAAGAGCTGCCATAACTCCGTTACATCCTCCTCTTCGCTGAACCGTCCTTGGTGCTAATTCTCCTATCCCCTTTTTTTTGTTTTTTTTTTTCTGTGCGGAAATTCCCTCGGATACCACTGTGGCAATGTCGGACTCGAACCGACTAAAACCGCACGCCATCTCAGGTACTAGTAGTCGGGGAACCAGGTGTACCCTACAAAGGAAATCCCTGGTGCCAATTCTCCTATCCCCTACCTCTCCAAATTAGTAAAACAGCTGCAGTGATCTCGTCGATGTGCACTGACTTACTTGGTAGGTTCAGAAGTGCTATTTACAAAGTCTTGTAAAAGCGTTCATGCTTTTTGTCTGCTATAATTCTAGCTTTGTAACTAATTTTTTAATATAAAAATCCATAATATTCAGTGTCTAGTAAGGATCAATGGAATTTCAAATATTTTACATTGTTTAACAAATAAGTGAGTAGGTGCATGATGCTTACCTGTAAGAAATTGTAACACTAGTTTATAAGTCTATTTGAATGTTTCTAATGACTTTGTATCGGTGTATTCAATTGTAATAAAAAAAATATAAAACTTAGAGAAGTATTTCCTGAATAGGTTCTCCTATTATTAGGCTAGGCACAAAAAATCGTCATATTTATAGGTTTTTGATAGTGAAAACGCTTTACAAGTCAGCGTGGCCACAGCCTTTACTAGTCTACTGCTGGAAATAGACCTCTCCTTAGAAAGGGGTTTTTTTTCTACTATACCACGCTGGCCAGACGGGTTGGTATAGGGTTTGTTTCAAGTTTCCTTCTCTTTGCAGTGTTTGCGTGGTTTTAAGTACACCACGTATTTTAGTAGGCCATAACCTGTCTAAGAGAGGCCTATATCCAGCTAATGGACTACTAAAGGCTGTTGCTGAATAAATAACGATAATCAAAAAGAAATAAGGTAAAAAAGGAATTGGGTAGGTAATGATTAAATTGAAGTTGGCAAATAAGCACACAATCTTAGGTACCTTCCGATAAACCATTGAGTTTTAGACGTTAAAAGTAAGAAATAAGGTAATCTATCAATTTTTTACAAAAAAAAATAGTTACTGAAGGATACAGAAATAATTTTAATATGATAGAAATGTATACAATATTCGTATTTGTCCACAAAGAGCAAATTTGTGGGTAACACAGAGTGCACAAACCGATTCGGGATTAACGTGATAAAATCTGATCGTCAAGATGACGGGACCACGCTAGGTTTTTCAAATATCATGTGAATAGTATTTAGTACAATATTTTTACTATTTCATACTAGACCTAAGGAGAGGCCTATGTCCAGCAGTGGACTATTAAAGGCTGTTGATGTGATACTAGAGTGTACCTAATGATGATCGCACGGCCTGATCTTAAACTGAACACAACAAATTTTAATATAATATATTACGACTAAGTTGCAATCGTTATTAAACTTTTAAAATATTAATTTAATAAAAAAGTGTTTAGTTTATTTACTTACAGCAAAAAAGCGCCTGACGAAAAAAGTAATTTTGAGCCATGCAGGTATCATTTTATGACTTACAATTCGTTTAGGCGTTAAAAACGTTTATAACATACATACATAAAAATATTTTATACAATTTATTTAACAAAGACTACTCCTAGAATTTAAAACAATTTTATTACAGTTGATTTACTACTTACAAAAACACGCACGTCACAATTTCGTATTAGTTTTATGTATACATAAACTTTTTGGCGTCCTATGAAAATCTAGAAGTAAATTCTCTTAATAAAATTATGTAAATTTTTTCTAAAACAAATTCTATGCGCTCCATACCTTTTAAACGCTTAAACAAATTGTAAGAGTTTAAATTATACTTGCCTTAAAATTACACTTTACAGCACTTCGTAGAGAAGGAAAACTTTACAAAAACTTTTTTTTTTATTAAATTAATAAAATTTGTTGGGGGTCAGTTTAAGATCACGCCGTGTGATCTTCATTAAGTAAATAGTGGTACCGCCATTATGATATCAAAACAACTTTCTTTTTTTTTACGAGTGTAGAATTTTGCAGTGAAAGTGTGAAATAAAAGAAATATTGTATTAAATCAAAATGATATGAAATTCAAAAAAATCTGGCGTGGTCCCGTCACCTAATACCTAATTTTTATTGCGTTCCGTAATGTATATGAATGGTCTTAAAAATACAGATAGACCCTGTCTTGCACAGCAAAATCTGGCGGGTGGCATTTGGTCTGGGTTCAACTTCGTTACTAAGTTGTTCACTATCGATTTGAATATTAATTACCAATAATAACCCACTTACCTTCATGTTAATTAACTTACAATTTTATACAACGAACAAGCATTATGGCCGTGTAGTAGCGGTCTGTGTTATTACAGGCTAGGCGAGCCAGGGCCACTTTCCTCACTTTCTCCGACACGAGCTCAGCTGTGGGCAACAGTTGGTATTTATAATAATAAGTATGAATACCGTTCAGAAGCATGAAATTATCTGTTGCTGCCAGCTATGGAGATCTAAGCAGCGGGGTTCACGCATCTCCGACCGTTATGGTTTATTTACAGAACAGCCGTGACCAAAGCGTTTTATTCCATGTTTCGCACACCACTGGGGTGTCGTTTACAATTAATTTTTTTTTTGGCAACGACACCATTGTTTTGTGTATTAATGTATAACGTGAAATAAAATAATTCGTTGTCTTAATTTTTAATAATAAGATTAAAATTGGTGGAGCCCGCAAGGGATTCGTTAAATATAATAGTTGTATCCATTACAACAAAAAACCACTAAATGAAAAAATAATAATTTATAAAACTTGATCCAATGTTATACCATAACTAGTTATTCATTACTTTTTTATCTTTGTTGCAATTCATCTGCTATTTTTAAAGTACTTTCTGGAAACTTCTGGAAAATCATTTTTAAGTGGTGATTTTCGTAATCTTAAGAATAAAAAATAATTGATGTCGATAAATGCACAAGTTTTTTGTTAGAACTTCATTACGGTGGTGTCGTTACCAAAAAAAAACATTGTAAATGACACCCCAGTGGTGTGGTTCAGTGCTGTCGTTTACAATACACGCAGAAAAGAATAGAATGGAATATTATTTATGTCATAAACCACAGCATACAAAAATAAAAATAAAAGTTAAAAAACAACATACACAAAGAAACTAAAAATCAAGTAAGGTGATAAAGGCAACATTTTTCAATGTGTCAATCTTTCATTTTTGACAGAATTGACATGACACGTCAATGTGCCACGTATCCAACTGGTGTTAACCTAATTTTTCATTGCTTTTCACCGAGTGAAAGAGGTAACCGAAGCCTAAACTCACCCCTCCCCCCGCCTAATTATTCACCTAAAGGGTGGTAAGGCACTTATGACCTTTGAGCTGCATGTCTCAATGGGCACTGGTAGGCACTTACTATAAGGTGATCTCTGAAGGACATCTGCTCGTTAGACCCTATACCATAATAAAAGACTACAACACCTGACAGAACTATCTGGCTGATAGCTTTTTTTTTCACCTCTCCTATTTATCGCCATAAGAACCGACTGAGGGTGCCGACTCAGGACAATAGCTGGCAGAACTGCATAGAGAAGAATAACTTGAAACATCCTATATAAACAAACCCGTCTGGCTAGCGTGGTACAGTGGGCCAAAACCTCCTTTAAAAGAAGAGTCCTATGTCCAGCAGTGGACTGCTAAAGGCTGTTGATGATGATCGACAATTATATGTAACAAAGATATTCCGAACTACGGAGTAAATGCTAATCCTGTAGGTATTGCGATATAAAATGTTCTCACGCCGATTAGAATATTTATAAACATCAAAACACCAACCGTTGGCCACGGCTCGCCAGGCATGATTCCTTCATCTGGTTGGAGGATCCTCCCTTTTATTGTGCGATTTTACAATAAAGTGCCAAGCAAATTCCATGAATTAAGTGTTAACAAATTTAAGTCTTTAGTAAAGCTAAAACTATGTGAAAAGTCTTACTACACTATTACCTACAGATTATTTAGACGACAAATTTGCTTGGGATTGATGCTGATCACTCCCACATTTACGTAGACATCTTTGTTGTTAAGTTTGAAAGTGATGGACATTTAATTTTTTTTTTTTGGTGTATTTCGTATTTTATTTTTCGTTGACTTTGAATTGTATAGTATTTTTTTATTTTTTGTGTAAGTATGTAAATGTGAGTATAGTATAGGCTTGTAATGTTAATTCATATTTTATTATCTTTCTGGTGGTTTTGAGTGTTTCCACGGCCTACCCAAATGTCCTGCTGACGGTAGTGTAATGCTTAGGGTCGTTGATCTTGACCAATATCGGTTAGGCTACACGATGGCTGGAGCCTGTATGCCGTCTGTATGGACAGGCTGACTCAAAACTATGGTCCTTTCCTGAAAAGGCCTATCCAGACCCTATACTGTACTCGCAGTTTTATTTTACTTTGTTTACGGACTTAAAAATAAGACACCTCTGTGGTTTGTTTCGGCGTTTCTTCCCAGAGTGAGTCTTAGGAAATGCCAGCTCCTTCTAGCTATAAAGTCCGACTTGTAAAAATATCTGAAAAGATTTACTTACAGAAATAAATATCATTTATCATTTATTT